CACGGATATAATACCAGACATGCGGCAAGGCTGAAACAGTCCCGGCAAAGAGGAACAATTACCTAGTTACTCTGACGATGGAACGGGCGAGTGTTCGAAACGTCAGTCTCAATATAATTTGGTCCATGTTCTCTTACCTCCTTCTTCGTCTTATTTGGGGGATGGTAAAAACGATAAATTTAAAATGTATTCCTTCCTGTTGACGCGTCTTTTACAATATAAGGGCATTATTTTCAGCGTGTTGGTTGCTCGTACTTATAAATATCGGATAGACTTGAGTCGACGCTCAGGGGTACCCAACTGGACAGCTGCTGTCTTACCTTGAACGTCTCTCTCTGCTCACCAGAACGTAACGCCCACGGATGAGAATATAGCCAAACAGTTACGGGGACATGAGCAGGCTTATATCTACGTTGTTGTCCTTGCTGAGCAAACTGAGGTGGTATGTGTTTAAATGGCAGTGTTTGATTTCCGTGCTCGTCTGCGGGAGACGCAGCTGCTGATCACGTGACCATCCAACACTTTCTATTAGACAGCGCGTTCCGTGCCGAAGCAGGCCATCGTAAAATTTATTCACTTTCTATACCTTGGCTAGAATGGTGGAGGGCGGGGCAGAATTTACTCTTCACATCGTCAGAACTGGTTACTGCGAGAGAAGTAGGCACTGATGAACCTGCTGTACGTGTTTCTGCAACCGCAGCTGGTAGGACAGCCGGCTCATGACGTCTTTCTTGATAGTGAACGCGACTCCGGTGTCTCGTCACTCTGCCTTCAGACGTTCGCTGCAGATAAAAAGGAGTAACGGGCACCCAGGCCTAGTAGTTGTCCTTATTCGGACGAGTGCGTCTCATTAGCAGTCGCAATTTCCCCTTTTTAGCAGGCGATTTCCCAGGAGAGCAAATTTGTGCCCCCTTCCGGTAGGCTAGCTTTTGGATTGTCTAGACAAGAACGAACACTTTGAAACACCGGGCTGGGTCGTGTTCCTCCGACAGACTATTATGAGGCACAGAGATAAGGAGCGTGTCAGCTGTGATTTAGTTTATTGTTTCATCCAAAATTTTGCATCCATGGACAAGGGTTAGCTTGCCGACAACTTGTGCCATTAGGGCACAAGTTCTAACTCACTCTCCCGCGAAGGAATCGGCAGCGCTACCATAATCGGGACTGTCGAGTTATTCCAGGTAACTGTCGACCCTCATTATGAGCCACGAAGACGATCCAAATTAGTTTGTGTCGCTTGTGGAACTGCAGGTCGCCTTCCCGGTAGAGTTGATGAGGATGTGCTCAAGAGTTGCTCTGTTTAAAGACAGCTCGACCGTCAGTTTCGAAGATGTCTCCCATGTGCTCTACAGCATGGTGATACAGGGACTGCGACTTGCACGGCAGCTACCTCACTCTCTTACCTTATCCACCTGAGCCTGCTGCCAAGAAAAGTCAAGAAGATCGGACATGAGAGCGGATGCAGGCCAATGCACTGTGGGCCCTCACAACCAGGAAACCACAGCAAAGTTGAGGGAGGGGGGTCTCGGAATACATCTGAGTGAGAGTTCCATAAATACAACATCATCAACGAACCATTGCAGCCTGACTCTCAGCCCGCCTGTCAATCATTCCGCACAAACACACGCATTAAGCTGACCACATGGTCTGTGTTTCACTTCAGTCTTCATCTTCCAGGCCACGGCTTTTAGTATTCCGTGAGAGCTTCAAGCGCGTCAGCTTGTTTATAGCAAGGAAGGGTCTTTGCACTAGCATGTCAAATAAAACGACCTGAGAAGCACCGCCACCAACAGAAGAGAGCATTTGGAGGACAATTTTAAAATCAGTAGATTTTTTTTAGCAAAGCAGGAAAAATAACAAGAGAACAATAAAGAACGAGAAGGAGAAGGCAGGCCTTTATAAATGTCCAGATCAGAGGTTGAAGTGCGTGATATGAATGTAGATGCCAATTGTAATCAAACATTTGACGAATTTTAGTGAAAAAGGTTTCAATATGAGGAACGAACGAGAGATTTGATGACAGATTACCATCGAGATACCGACAAGGGGACACTTCGTTTGGAAGAAGCTCCGTGCATTCAGGAACGAGAGATGGTCGTAGTCGACAATCACGCTAAATGATGTCTGATAAGGAAGTAAGGTATTATTTTCCGGTGAGACGTGCCCCATACAACAGTCGTTGTAAAGGTGAGATTACTCTGATTTTTAAGAGGGTCACCAAGAAATGATTCGTCAACATACTTAATATCGCTGACTTGGCGTACACCTTTACATTGACCGACCATGGATTAGTTATACGCAAAGCAAACAAACCTCTGTGATCGACTCTGACCGACGGTCTAAAGCAGACGAAGGTATCCTTCGTATTCGGAATAAAATGATGCCGTCGCTGGAAGATGGCGTTTATTAGACCAATGTTTCGGAATCACGCTCGAGTCCAGCCTCCGAGACAGTCGCAGACAAGAGTCGTCACTCAAACCCCTGTCCCGCCTGAAATTCCATAAGTTGATTAGGGCGACATCCGGCCATTTCTTCGCCACACTAGCCTTGAACCAATGGGAGACTCAATAGTTGTCTGGGCACCATAACAGCCCAATTCGGGGGTTCGCTGCTTCGCCGGTGGGGAAGGAGGTTAAAAAAATTGCCCACTCAAGCCAACTAGGTGGCCAATCAAGGGTACAGAACCAATTGAAACACTTTCTGTTCCGAGTTCCCCGTTCCCAACATCGGAATGAATTTAGCAAGTCTACAGCCTGGAATTTCCATTGTCATCTGGACAGTTGGCCAAAAAGGAAGAAAAGCTCGTGTCGGTTGCACACTGGTCTGGTACACAGTGGACGTTGCGGCCCCCAGGCTGGCATCTTCGAAACGGAAACATGCGATGCACATCTTCCTTGGAGCCTCCGGACTCCTATTGGCAAACGCAGATGAACCCGGCAAATATTACAACAAGCACCGCGGAACCTCCCCTTGTCAGCACTGCTGGAGCGGTAATCGCCAGCATGCTCCTAATTATCCTGTGCATACACCAACCGGAGTGGTGCCTGCTCTCAAAACGACATTTGGAAACATAGGCAACAACAGGCTTGATGTTCGCAGTGAGCCAACGGCTAAGCACCTGTCAACCAGCGAAGACCAGCCTGTACAGTAGATTCATTGATCTAACCGCAACTTTTGATACCGTGAGCCGTGATGTACTTGGGAACATCAGGCTAAAATGAGGATTAATGCAGAGGGTAGGATAAATGGAGGATAACGCGCGTCAACGACGACTAGGAGTCAGTCTCGGAAGGGTTTAAACTGACAAGTGGGGTGACGCAGGACCGTAAATGCGCTCATGCTCTCCCCAGTATCATTTTCGGTCATGCCTACAGTAGGAACCGGCATAGAAAAACACGTCCACTAGGATTAACGGCTTATGAGGGCAAAAACAGAAGATCGCTCTTCAAATTCTCAATGCTAGAACAGTGACTAGGGGTTTTGTACCAAAACGGTATGCAAGACTATGGATTTTCCTTCTCTTACACTAAAAGGGTACTCTGAGGTGTCCATTCAGATTATCCGCCGTGAGCATTTTGTCAATGTTCTTTCTGCGCATATTTGGAAACAGAATTGAGAAATTTGGCATTGCAGTGCAAGCGAGCATGACAGCGTCATCACGTCATGATATGTTAATCGAAATTCTGAAGCATATCTTTAATTGGAAAAGAGGACTTAGCTGCGGTTGTAAGATTGGGTATCGGACAAGAAGACCCCGTAACCTTCCGAATAGGTTAATATGCAGGCTTTTGAATGCGCGTAAGTTCAACTGCCTCTAAGTACGCCACTCGACAAAATGTCTCCCTAAAAAGCATACACGTTGCTATTGATTTGAGGTGCCCTTAACGACAGAGATATATTTTGTAGAAAGCAGAAGTAAAAATATTCTCTCATGTACTCAGTTGTTAACTCAACACACCGTCAAAGTTGCTAATTGAAGACATATAAATCTTTGTATTTAGAGAAGACCGTATAATCTTCATTCGAATAACCTCGTACCTAATCGTTTATTACTGGAGTATACGACCAAATCAGCATCAATTGCAACTTTTTATGACCACTATGATGCATCTTCTTAATGGCTTACATGAAAGGTACACAAACAAATGCGACGAAAGATCGGGCTAAAGATTAAATTGAAAGCGAAAACTTTTGAAAACCTAAATGTACATTTCCTATGAACAAAAACACTGGAGAGGAAGCAAATACCTACAAAACAGGTAAAAGAAACAACATTTTGGGCATTTTTTCTATAGAATGTTTTCGACTTTATAAGAGCACAGGAAATGGATAGGAAAAACAAATGCTTACTACTTAAATTGCCACTTTCTATCGAGTTCGGTTATGTAGGCAGCCGAAAAAATGTGCATTCAAAAACCGACACAGTAAAGAGCCTGAAATAGCTTGACCTTATGCTGTAAGAAAATAAATATTACAATCACACTTAATTTTTCCCAGGGCACAACGAATTAATATTTTCGTTAACAATTAATAAGCTCGGTCACCGATTGTAAGGGGAAAATAATAAAATGAAGTTTTTTTTACTTGCAAGGGGCAGGCTGCTAACATACCTTCATTCCGGAAGGTCCGGGGGTTTAATTTTTACATAGGCCTATGATGTTAATCCGGATAGTCACCTGTAGGAAATAGTTCAGCCTGCATCAATTGCAACCACAAGGAACTGCTGACGGATGATGGTTTAAATGGCCATCAAATTTTGAAACGGAAAACGAAAACGGACACCACCGATAGCATGGCACAAACGGATGGTCAATTGGACCCATATTGTTGCAGAATAATGCTCCTATTTGTGGCTCACAGGATGTAAGATGCGGAT